GCTGCGGTGCACGTAAGCATTGTGGTGTAGACTAGACAGGCGGTGCGTTGCACATGGCAGTTGCGGTTTACACATTCGCTGTGGCGTAGACCGGCGCTGTGGTGCACACAAGCACTGTGGTGTACACAAGCGTTGCGTTACACACGGCTGTTGCGGTGTACGCAGGCGCTGTGGTGCACACGTGCTCTCTGGTGCACGCGAGCACTGTGGTGTACACAGGCGCTGGGGGGCAGATCGCCACATACATGCTGCTCGCGTCGTCGTCGTCGTCGTCGGTCGTCGCACGTCGCTCGTCGCGTCGCTCGTCGCTCATCGTCGTCGTGCGCGCGGGCGCGGCTGCGGTGCCAGAGCCACGCGGCGGGGGGGGGTGCGTTGCGTCATGCCCCCCCCCCGCCCCCCCCCCATAATGCCCGTCATCGCCGACAATGAAGAAACGCGCTCCTGGTTTTCCAGCCTTGGTCGGCGCATTCGCGCGCGATCCGCTTATCGCGCGTTCCGCAGTGCAGATCGAGCTTCGCTTATAGTTCCACATTGGCGCGGTGGTCGCGCGCGCCCGTCGCTGGAAACGCCCTCTCTCATCGTGCATTCCGAGCCCCTTTAGCAGCGTGTGCTGCTGCTCTTTCGGGGGCCAGCGCGTTCGCCCTTCGCATTGGAAGGGGCGCGCCCCAATCGCGCTTGCTTCTCGGGCTGGGCCCCCGCCGCGGCCGCAGCGGGGGCAGTTGCGCGCGCTTTGTTTGTCCATGGGGCAGGCGTGTCGGAGATCTCCTGAGCCATCTTGGGATACCATGTGCCATCTTGAAGGCCTGGGCGATGTGAAACCATTTAGGTGCCATCCGGAACCATCGAGGACACCCGCGCACCTCGCGCGCCCCCCCCCAGACACGGGGGGCGGGGGGCAAGCGGCCGGGATAAACCCCGCCCCGAAAAGAAACAAGGGAGTCGGAAGAACGTGTTCGCGAAACCGGTTACGCCCTAGAGGGTTCGTGGAATTTGCAAAGGGCGGCGGCTCCGGGGGCGCGAGGGCGTCGATTCGCGGGGGATTGTGGCCTCGAGAGCGCGGGCCCGCTTTATTTTTGCTCGCTCCTGCCCCCCCCCCCCCCCCGAGAACCATCGAAGTCTCCGGGCGAGATCATCGGGCCGCGCCGCGACGTCTGAGCGAGGCAAGTACCGCGGGAGGTTCAAGGAACGTTGCCTGCCCTCGACGTTCTTCCCGTCACGAAACGCGCGTGCGCTGGCAGCAATACTTCCCCCGCCTTGTACCTGCTGCTTCGCGCGCGCCATCATGGCATTATCTTGCCGCTTGCCTGAAGCCGATCGCGCTCGAGCGCGGCCGCTGGGCGTCGATGGGGCCAGCGCCCGCCGTCTCCTTTTCCTCCTCGTCCGCGGTCCCGGGCAGTCTCAAATGTCTTTGAGTCTCACGCGCGCGCAACATGTCAATGAATTGTTGTCGCAAGTGCCATTTGAGCTCAATCTCTTTCACGCCCGATAAGCCCTCGACGTTGCGCGAAGCTGCCGCAGTCACTGTCGGATGCCGCCGCCGTAGGAGACGCGCGCCTGTCCGGCCCTTTTAGGTAGAGGTTGTTTTGCAGAAGTGCTGGCTGCGGCTGAATCTTCGTCGCTCGCGCGCTCGTGGATTCCCCGACGACGGCGGCTTGCAGATGCAGCATTGCCAGTTGTTGCCGGCGAAACTCTGCCCATGCGCTGCACGTCCTAATGGGGCCCGCTGCCCCCGCGCGCCCCATTGGCCCCGCCCTTCGCGCCCTTGCTGGCGCGAGCGAGCAGGCCCGCAAATTTGTTCACGAGATCCATGGCGAGAGGGCGGCCGTGCAATTCTTCCCGCGCGGCCTGCTCGTCGCGCCGCTCGCAGTCAACGTCGCGGTCTTCCGCGGTTGCTGCCGGCGCGCGATCGCCGCCAGCGACCGCCTCGCAGGGGCCCCCGTCCGACGCTTCCACGACGCGCGGCACGTTGAATACCCGTTTCAGCATCCTCTCGAAGGCGAGGCAGACGTTGCGGGCCGCCAGGTTCGCTCGAGAGCGATCTTCGCTAGCCCGCGTCATCTCCTCGCCGTCGGCGGGGCCGCTGACGCGGCGGACCTCGGCGGCGCGGTCGCGCGCGTCTGCAGAGCCAAATGCGGCAGACAGAATGCCTTTGAACTCGCCCTTCGAATAGATCTTGGGCGGGGCGGGCAAGCGCAAGGCTGCGAGGCGCTCCGTCAGCCACTGGATCGACGTTGCAGAGTCCCCCAGGCCGCCCACATTGCCATCGACCGCGCTCGGTCCACTCGGACATCGGCGCGCGGCGCGAAGAGGCCGCATCTTTACGGGGGGGGGGGGGGGGGCACGCCGAGGAGGCTTCCTGCATGTACTCCTGGATCCTTATCGATGAGTGCCCCCTCCTGGAATCTTCTGCGCCATCGTCTCGCGCGTGGTCTCATGCTTCTCGGCGCGCATCTCCGCGGAGCTGATGTCCGCCTCCGCGCCCCCCAGTCGGCTGTCGCGGGGCGCCGCGAGGTTTTCGACCATGTCGCAAGGCCCCGATCTTCATTTTGAGTTCTTCCACAACGCGCGCAACCGGGGCGAGCTGCTGCGGGCGGGGCGCCGAAATGCCAGCCGTTGTCATCGGCTCGGCCTCGGCCGCCATAGCCCTGCTGGCGTATGACTGGCGGGCGGCGCCCCCTGGCCCCCCCGCCATCGGCGCGCGCCCCTCGAGCTGGGCCTGCGCGTCGCCCAGGGGGGGGGGGGCTCGTGGGGAGTTGGGGCCGCGGCCGGAGCGATGCTTCTTGGTCGCCGCGTTCGCCCGCGGGCCGTTCTCCTGGAGGCCGTCTTCGAACAGGCCGACGCGGGGGCCTGGCCCGCGGGGCCGAGCGTTCGGGGTCGCAGCGCTATGGGCACCCGCCATTGCAGCTACAAGCGCAAGAGAGATCAGAAGTTGAAGGGGGAGTGCTCTTGAGGGAGAGCGCTATTGAGTGGTGCATTTGCATTTCCAACTGCGACAGCCTTCGACGAATGGCCACGTGCTCGACTTGGACGCTGCCTTGTTTGATTGTATTTGCGACCTCGTACGGGCCGAGAACTCCGAGGTTGCAGCCGCGCTCATTCGCCAGCAGCGGTGCCCCCCATGGAAGGAGGGCGGCGATGGCGTGGCCAGCGCGCGCTCCAGTTCCCAACCCAGCTTCGCCACCTCCTGGCTCCGCGCCTCGCCGGGTAATGGGGCTTCCGCGGGGCTCCCCAGCGCGGGGGCGCTCTTGGTCAAGGCGCCCGTTGCGCGCGCGTGCCTCGGGATGATCGGGGGGGGGGGGCGATCGCGGGGCGTCGGCCTCCTTGCCGCGCTCGACGACGTCTTGCATACTGCCTCGCCGAGTTTTGCGCCCACGTGGCGCGGCGTTCCGACGTGGTTTCCCGCGCCGCATTCGGCGCCAGCAGTGGCGCCGCAGTATACTGGATCACCGCGATGTGGGAATTTGGTGGCAGCGGCGGAGGCTTGCGGATGGCCATCCAGCACAGCGCATCGCGGGGCAATTTCATAGCGGACCAGGAGCTCGCCACCAGCACGCGCCTCTGGATGCATCAGGGCGGCCCCCTTTTGCGGCAGCCCGGCCATGAGTTGCGTTGCGCGCGCAAGGGGGGCGAACGCGGGCAGCCAAGTGGTGGGCCCCGAGGGTCGCGCAGCCTCTTGCGCAAAAGGGGCGGCTTCGTGGCCGGCAGACACGACGCCATCGGATATTTGATCGCGAACATGTTGTTTGACACGCTGGGCATCTTCGCGCACGCCGAGCAGCATGCGCATCGATAGTTCCCAGACAAGCGGCGCCCCGAACTGATTACTACTACGACGAGAGCTTCGTGCGCCAGCACTTTGGATATGGCCGTTGTCACCCCGCGCACGCGGGCCCTCCCGGGCAGAGCAGCCGCGCGCCGCCAGGGCGCTTTGATTCAGCGGAAGGAATGTTCCGAAAGACAAGAACACCTAGTACTGGGGGCCACGGCCGTGGCCATTTCCCAGTTTGGCGGTGTAGGTCGTGGCTGTCAGAGCGTCGTCAAGGGGCTCGCTCACAGTCTCGATGGGCGCCACTGGCTCATTGCCATCGACGCTTGCAACCAGTGCCTGACGGCAGCGCCGCAGCCCAGTAGTGTCAAGCTGTTGGCGTCAGCAGCGCCGCTGATCCCCTAGCTCATGGGCGCGCGATCGTTGTCTTACTCCCTTCCTCCCTCCTCTCCATCCGCCTGGTCTCGCCTAACTGATGTGCTGCCGCATTTTTTGTCTGCCTCCCCCCTTGCGTTTCCCAGTTCCTCCCCCGCCCCTTGCCTCAGGCGGGCGTTCACATCTCCCCGCCGCGCGCCCGTCCCCTACGCCTTTTTTTTGTTGTTATTTGCCGAAGTTTTCAGGTGTGCCCTGTCGCTGGCACCTTGGCGGGCTCTCGCACCTCGTCCGGGCGTGCAACAACAAATTCTTAACGTGCACGTCCCAGGTGGTGCGTTTTTTGGACCTCCGGCCGTTACGCTCGCCCCCGGTGGACACCAGACCTAAAGCGAGTTTGGTAACAGGCTGCCGGGCGGATTCGGCAGGAGAGGGAAGGGGAGCGGGAGAAACGGTAAGGAAGCAAAACGGACAATGAGATGCGGATGGGAAAGAAGGTTGAAGAGGTTCAGGAGAAGGAGTAACTAGTAAGAGGATAGTAAGTATTAGGGGGCAGAAAGGACGGAAGGGAGGAGGTGGGGAGATAGGCAAAAGGATGGACAAGACAATGGTGAAGAGGGGCGAAGGAGCAGAAATGCACGAGGAGGGGGGGAAATGAGAGATCGGAAGGAGAGAGTGGCGCGAAGGGAATGGAAGGGAGGGAAAAGGACACGGAATTCGGTAAACTTGGGGGGGAGGGAGTTGGGATGGCGGCGCAAGGCAGGAGGAGGGGGACGAGGAGGCGAAGGCAGGAGGCGGTAGCACTCACCGTGCTTCGCCACTCCAAGGGGAGCGGACGAGAGGGCGAGCGCGCCCGGCCCAGGAACGCGAGGCCCTCAAGGACGCCCTGCCCGCCCGATGCGACAGCGCGTGGTTCAGGTCCACCTTCCTGGAGGCCGCCGCGCCCGCGGCGCTCGGCCCCCAGGCGCCGCCGGTCCTGCCCCACCCCGCGGTTCCGAGGGCGGAGGTGGAGGGAGAGGCTCGTGCGTGGTATGGCCGGCCGGGTGGCCAACAGGACGCGCGTGAGTCCAGCCTGCATCTTGCCCCGCTCGGCTGCGCGGCCGCCTGCGGCGGCCCTCGTCGATGCTGTCTCTGTCGCATCGACTGGTTTCGGTGGGCAGTTGTACGTTGGCGCTGACGCGCGTCGTGAGCATCGTGGACTGGCGACCCTGTCCCCGGGGCCAGGGGCGGCCCAACTCGTCCAAATCCGCCCCCCCCCCCTTCTCCCCCACGGCCGCCGTGACCCGCGTTACCTCGCCGGAGGGACCAGATCTTTTTTGTTGGCAGAGGGGGGTGGGGGTGGCGAGTTCACGAGGCATTCGGAAGTGTTCGGCTGGACGCCCACAGGCAGCCAAGAGGGGGGCCAAGAGAACCCCAATGCCAATGCGGACCCAGAAGAAGTGCCAAAGCGGCCCGATAACAGTAGCCCAAAGTCGGCCCCCAGCACACCCATTGAACTTGCTAAACTCTTCCGGGAGGGCCCAAGACCTCCCCAAAGCCGTCAAGACACCCACTATTGACCTCGGACACTCGAGGGAAGTCCCCAAGTGGGCCACCGTTGCACTCCAAGTCGGCCCACTTCATATCCAAGACCTACGCACACCAGCCATGAACAGTTCGAACATCCCGCGGTCATCGTTTCCCCATGACCGACTCTAGTCCCTAGTCCCCAAAAGGCGCGTGGCTTTTCTTCATCCTTCCGCCTTCTCTTCCCTGGCTGGTGCTTCGCACGATTGAGTCCCATTTCCCTTAGTGGGAAGCTGGCAAGTTTAATCATCACTGCATGGGGGGGGGAAGCATACAATGATTTCATTTCGATGATGCTTTGGTTCTGCGCTTATGGTTGCTTCGAGAGCTCGGCAATGCAACGGGTCTGTGGGTCGTCTGTGATTTCCCCTCCTGAGTTCCGCCTGGCCAAGAGTATGCGCCCAGTGCTTTCCGGTGCTGGGAAAATTCATCCGTTGCAGTGTAATTCTTCACGATTCGCGCATCCCCAGCAGCGCGGCTGCTTTGTGAGTGGGCCGGCCGGCTTGTGCCTTCTGTAGCTAATTAGGCTTGCCCGTTTGCCCGGACTCCCTGCCCGCCGCCTGCCTCTTCGCTTGCGGCCGCGACCGAAAAAGTATCCCCAGCAGCCCATTCAGAGACCCTGATCTTGAGAGCTGACGGGAAAAGGGACGAAGAGGCACATCTAGTAAAACAAAGCGAGCAACCATGGTGAACAGAGATATCTCCAGGGCTTTTTTGAGGGTTTTGGAGTTGTCTTGGAGCTCTTTTGGGGGGTCTCGGGGGGGCGCTCTTGGAGCCCTCTTGGGGCCCTCTTGGAGCTCTCTTGGGGCTCTCTTGAGAGCCTCTTGGGAGCTCTGGAGGGCCTCCTGGGGCTGTCGTGGAGGGTGTCCGTGACAAGAGGGGGGTACTAACGTTTAGTCCCCCCTTCTGGGCCATCAAAATAGCAATTTTCTTGGGACGCTCTTGGCCCCCTCTTGGGGCGCTTTTGGGCTGTCTTGGGGCCGTCTTGGGGGCATCTTGGGCCCCTCTTGGAGCTCTGTTGGGCCATCTTGGGGCCACCTTGACGCCTGAAAATCTCATCGGAAGCGAACAGGTTTTTAAAGATTTTGGCTTCTCGGTGAGGTCCTGTGAGGTCTTTGAGGGCACCTGGAACCGTCTTGTGACCCTGTTGTGGCGTTTTGGAGGCATGATGGTGGAGGTCATCTTGAGCGATCTTGCGCTATCTGGAGCCCTCTTGGACACCATCTTGAAGCATCGGATGCCCTCTTGGAGCCACGTTGAGCGTAAAAGGGCCCTCTGAGGATTCGCGACCCCCCCTGTCCAGACCCCTGGGAGGGGAGGGGGAGGGTCCTCCCCGAAGGGACGAGGGGTTTTGGAAGAGGAACGACAGACATCATTAGACCACCTACGCCCAGAGGGCCGGTGGGATTACATACAGGCGTTTTGCGCGTTCCTTTTTTGAACCAGTGCGCTAGGGCCTGAGACGTGCGACATGCGCCTTTGGTTTTAGGGTATGTGTCATACACATACATATACACACATACACATAGAATTATATGCGTGTGTGAACACACACACATATATGTGTATATATATGTGTGTTCACATCTGTGATTATGGTTCATATATATACACACATATATATCTATATATATATATAGATATATGTGTGTATGTGTCTAGATATACACATACATAGCGTTTGGCCCATCCCGCCATGGAGCCTGCGTTGTGGGCCATTGGCCGCTTTGATGTTCGTTTGGATGTCGCGGAAGGCCTCCCGGGGGAAATTCGGGGCCCGAAATCATTGGACATCTGATTGTAAATCAATAGTTTCGGCCTTTCGGGGCCCTCTGGGGAAGGCTCTTGGCGCTCTCTTGGGGCGTCTCGGAGACCTCTTCGGCCATCTGGATTCCATCTTGAGCATCTTGGAGCGATGATTCGGCGACTCGGGGCTCTCTTGGTCTGTCTTCGGGGCCTCTTGGGGCCCTTTTGGCCCGTCTTGGGGCTCTTTTGGGCCCCAAAAAATTCACGCGCCACCTCGCGTAGGAGCACAGAGGGCACGCGACAAGCCCCGGTTGATATCGGAATTGTGGGTCCAGGCGCCTTGAAGACCCTTCAGGAGTGAGGACTGAGGCTCAACGGATTAGCACACGCCCATTCCGTGCCCAGCGGCACGGTCTCGGATATGTATGTATGCATGTCTGTCTTCCCGCGTATACTCGCATACTCCCCAAAAACAGCGCTTGCATTTAGGGGTTCTTCGTTGCCGCCTCGTCGCCGCCCGTTGTCTGGACTTGTGTGTCGGTCTGGCGGCTCCGTGGCAGCCGTCGCCGCCCTGTCGCCGCCTCGTCGCCGCCCGTCGTCTGGGCCAGGGTCGCGGTCTGGCCGTTCCGTGCTAGCTGTCGCCGCCTCGTCGCCGCCCGTCGTCTGGGCCTTGCTAGCCGTCGCCGACCAGTCGCCGCGTGGATTGCAAGATTGCCCCACATCGAGTGCACAACAAAGGCTGCACCACAAACATTCTCTTTTCTGAGAAGAAGAATTGACTTCACCCCCCCAGGATTATCACCTCTCTTTTTCGTATTGCAGTTTCCAGATGCTTCTGCCCCATCGCCCATCCGAAATTGAGTTCAGACCATCCCAGGGGCACCGGCATCGCGCCCCCCCCGCCATCATTTGCAACAAATATGTATTCCAAGACTTATTTGCAGAAGCATGAGACGCAGTGGGCACGCGCGCGTCGTCGCGCGCGCATGCCGAAATCTTTCAAACATCTTGAGTTTCGTAAAGGGTTTCAAAACCGAGTGTTTAAACAACTTAGAAAAACAGGGTTTCGCAGCACGGATGTTCAAAAAGACCTTGCGCGCTTTTGCGAATTCTCAAGGAAGCCGTAGGTTTTTCAACATGAGCACACATGCTACGAAACGGGCTTCGCGCGCGCATGTCGAAATCGTTCGAACGCCCTTGCGCGCGTGCCGTCGCGAAACTCTTTTGCGACGGATAGGACGGAATGCACGCGCGCGCGTCGTCGCGCGCACGTGTCGAAATCCGTCAAACACCTTCGGTTTCGAAACGATTGCAAAGCCGAGTGTCCAAGCAACGTACAACAATCCATGGCTTCGCGACATCATTGTTCAACAACAAAAACGCACGCTCGCGCTCTTGCGAATTTGATAGAAAACCATAGGTTTTTTTTTTCGATCTGTTCACGGAAGTCTACCAAACGAGCCTCTCGCGCCGCACGCCGACATCATTCGCGCGCCCATGCGCGCGTGCTTGGGGGGGGGCGCGGTCCGCGTCAAATAACGCCACGCGGGCCGCTCGATCGTCGGCGCCGCGCGCGCGTCGAGCTCTTCCCACAGCCTTTGTCACCGACGCGAGGGCGCCGTCATCGTCGTCGGCGCGGTCAGCATCGGCGCCCTCGCCGGCCGCGCCTTCGTCGTTGTCAACTTCGCCGCTAGCATCGCTGCGATCATCATCGCGTCTATCGTCGTTGACGTTGTCATGATTCCGTCCCCGCCCAAGTCGCCGACTCGCAGTGAAGTGCCCGCCGGGGCGCGTCGGGGGCCAGCGCCGCCGCGGCCGCGCCCGTCGCGCCAAACAAGCTGACCGCCGCGCGCTTGGCTCAGCGCGGCCGCAGAGGTGCACCAGCCAGCGCCCAGCCTTCATCGCAATCGCCGCCGCGTGTGTTTTGCAGGCCGGTCTGCGGGTGGGTGGGCGGGATGTTTGCAAGAGCATGGGATGTGTCAATTCGTCGGTGAAAATAGATTGCACCGCGTAGGTTTCGCCGCGTCGGTTCCTTCTACCAGCGAGGAAACAGTCTGCCGTCCCCTCCCCCTCCCCACCCCGGGGACGTCGCCGCCTCCCGTTTTCCTAAGTGTAGTTTCCATGTGATTCCGCCCCATCGCCCATCCTAAGTATGAATTCGTACCATCCCAGGGGAACCGGCACCGCCCCCCCTCGCCATCCTCCGCATGGAAATAGTTCGCGCGCGCGCCTTTCATTGACCAGAAACAGCACCAACAACTCTTCGCACAAAAAAGAAAGACGACGTGGGCGCGCGCGCGTCATCGCGCGCGCGCGTCGGAGTTCTTCAAAAACCATCAGTTTGGCAAGTGTGACCAAACCGTGTTCAGAGACCATATAAGAACAAAGTGTGTCGCAACGCGGATTTCCCCCAAGAGAAGAACCCGCGCGCGCGCGTGCTGCCGAATTCTTTAAAAGATAGGCTTGTCTATATTTTCATGAACGAGATATTCAATCAAACGGCCTTCGCGCGCGCATGCCGAAATCGTTCGAACGCCCTTGCGCGCGTGCCGTCGCGAGAGTCTTTTGCGTCGAATGAGACGAAGTGCGCGCGCGCGTCGTCGAGGGCGCATGCTGAAATCCGTCAACAAGTTTCTTTCGGCTTCGTAGCGA